ATATTTCTAATCATGAACAAGTATATCAAGTATAGTACATAAATGTTTCAAAATATATAAAGTTTACATGTAACTTTTAAACATTTACATTATCTCTAACATTTTATACACAGAATATGTTTATTGTTTTATTGTATATAAAGTTAGTTGTGTGTGTGTGTGTGTGTGTGTGTGTGTGTGTGTGTGTGTGTGTGTGTGTGTGTGTTGCTGATGCACAGATGTACAGTATATTGTCTCTGTTCTGTGGATGAAGTCTCTTCTCCTCTACAGACCGACTAAACATTTTCCCCAGTGAACAGCATTTGTGTGTGTTTCACTCGCTCCTCAGAGAGCAGACGGATGTGGGCCACTCAGTGGCGGTTCTACATTGAATTACACCCAGGGCGAGACCCCCTTCGATAATGTCTCATGACTCTCATATTAACAACTATCCAAACTGTTTAAGACCAAAATAGCTTTTGTAGGCCTATGTCATTTTTTTTTATAGAAAATTGTACTTTGCATATTATAGGGTACTGTAAAAACACATATTATAGTTGATTTTAGTTGATCATAACTAGTGATGAAATGGTATGAAAATTTAATTTCATGAATATAGTGACCAAAATGATCACGGTTAAACACAGAATCTTGTTCAAAAAGTAGGCCTACTAATACACAATGAAATCAAATCACCAAGTTAATAACATTAAAGATGATGGCCAGATTTTAAAGGAGTCTTTTATGTTATCTACTAACATACACGTTCAAATAAAGTTTTGACAAAAAAGGCTTTATAAAAAGATAAACCCGGTTCCCGGTTCGCCCGTGCCTAAAACCGCCACTGGGGCCACTTCAGGCGATGATGCGGCACTGCAGGCCTTCTTATTGCCCCGACAAAATATATGTGAGCCTGAAGTGGCCCACATGTAAAATGGCAAATATGGCCCAAATATTTTAAACCACATGTGGGCCTGTTTAGGCAAAGATGCGACACTCATGGCAATGTGTAATCTGAATGTGGGCCTAAAGTGGCCCATATGATAAATAATGAATATGGCCCAAATATCACAAACCAAATGTGGGCCACCTATGGCAAAAATGTGGCACAATCGACAATGACTAATCTGGGTGTAAAAACCAAATATGGCCCACATATGTTGCAGCAAATGTGACCCAGTTATCTTACAACAAATCAGGGCCAGTTTTGGCAAAGATGAGGGACAGTAATCACTGTGAATCTGAATGTGAACCTAAAGTGGCCCACACATGACATAGCAAATATGGCCCGATTACATTGCTGTGGCGAGCAATTAGCACTTACTAATCTAAATAAATAAAAATGTATACAAAAATGTGATGATGTCCGACTCGTTTTATGAAGAAGAAAGCCTTAAGTTTTTAAAAGCATTAGACATATATGATATGATATGTCATATATAATGACATATATATTCTGCTTCAAGTAGCCTACCATGTTGACAATATGACATGACGTGGTTTAATGTTCCTAAACAATGATTACCAAATTTCTCTCTCATGCTCCTCATAACCACTGAAAACAGTCAAAAAATCTAACCCAAAGTCCAGTTATTATGGAGGTTATCTGACATTAAGCGTTTCTGCTTCACATTTTCAGCAGGGCAGCGGAGCGGCTGTCGACTCCCCACGGTTCTCATGGGCTTTATATATAAGTCCTAACGTGAAAAAGCTTTACGTGGTTTACCTAAACAACGATCACCAAACGATTACAGTTGTTGCAGTGTTATGAACAGAGAAGCGTGTAGCAGCGCAGCCGCAGAACGGCTAAATTGAGCTCGAGGTTTTAAAAACAAAACAGTGGTGGGTACAAAATGACTCATGACGAAATCTGGTGGGGACGCCTATGTGTGAACCTAAAGTGGCCCACACATGACAGAGCAAATATGGCCCGATTACATTGCTGTGGCGAGCAGGACGAGGTCGAGGGCCGTGAGAGGACGGCGTGAGGCCGGTGGCGTGATTGATAATGAGGAACAGGCCTGAACTTGTGTTATGCTCTGTTTCTGTCGTCCGTGAGCGGCTGCTGGCTTATACTTTCGTTTTTGTAGATGTTTTATTTTGTTATTAAAAGTGTTGAATGTTCGCCGGTTCCCGCCTCCTCCTTCCCATAACAACGAACTTCATTACAATTGCAAAATAATTTGGACAATATTTGGCAAATGAATGGCACAGTCAGCACTGGATAACCAGGGTGTAAGCCTTATGGCACAGTAAGCAACGTGTGTGTGTGTGTGTGTGTGTGTGTGTGTGTGTGTGTGTGTGTGTGTGTGTGTGTGTGTGTTTCGGGAAAAGATTGGAAGCATCAAGAGTGTCGAGACTTCCAGTAATGGCGGAGCAGCGCTCAGTCGCACCACAGAGCCGCTCGCTTAATAACAGTCTTCTGGCCTCACAACTTTGCTTTTTATGACGGTGGAACTACTTTATTGTTGTCGGTAATATTTTTACACCATATTATGTCCGAACAAAATCAGAATAGGAAACATAAATGTAAAGGCAGAGCTCAAGCGCTGAAGCTAACGGACCACAACTACGTTGCTAGCCAAAAAGAAAACAACGGCGGGAAAATGGATGACGACTTCTCAACGGACTCGGAGGTTGTTACTCCGGTTGGTCGCCCCTCTTCCAGCCCTGCCTTAAAAGTAAAAAGGAAAGAAAGGAGCGACTTGTCTCTAGAGGATCTTCAGGCTATCATTCTGGCTGCAGTTAACCAGAGAGCTGATAACCTGGAACTGATGGTAAGAGACAACAAGTCAGGCATCGAAGAGCTGAAAACCTCCCTTAATCTTGCCTTCGTCGAAATTGAAGCTTTGAAAAATGAAAACAAAAAGTTATCTGAGCTTTGCTACTGTCATGAAAAAACTATAAAAAAACTGTAAATTCGGCTCACTGAGACTGAAAGATACAGGCGGAGATCGGCTCTAAGGCTGTATGGGCTACCAGAGGAAAGGGAGGAAAATGTAAAAAGAAAGGTGATAGACATCTGTCAGCAAATAGGCCCTAACCAAAATATGAGTCAAGCCGGCAACACACACCCTCGCTCCGTGATTATCCTCTTTGCCTTCCGCACAGCGAGGGATGACGTCTGGAAAAATGCACAAAACCACACTTTCCTGAGGGAGAAGAGGCTCCGCTTCGGCGAGGATCTCACTCAGGCTGACAAGAAGACCCGAGAAAGGCTGTGGCGCCGCATCGAAGAAGCGAGGAAACAAGGAAAGCCAGCTTTTGTCAGAGGAACCCGAGCCTTCATAGAGGATGTGGAGATGCTTTAAGATGTTTCCTACGGAGCCACACTAGGACTTTGTTGTAAACTCTGACCTTGTGCTTCTCTTTCTGTTGCTGCTTTAGAGGGGAAGAAGATCTGTTCAGGTGACGGTGCTAATACCTATGTTGGCTATATCTGCTCATAGGGGTGAACTCCATCCTCTCAGGGTTTTATTATATATTAATAATAATTATTAATTGTATATTATTAACCCAGTCAGTCATTCATGAATAACACAAGCACTTTGTAATTACTTTAAAATGTTCCAAATTCACTTTAAAGAGGCAGAAGCTGTTATTGCTGAGGTTGTTTTTCTCTCGTAAAGAGAATTGTTCTTTAGCGGTTAATGAAACTTTCTATAAATGCCAGAGGACTACGAAACATATGTTAAAAGAAAAGCCATCTTTATTTTTTGTAAGGACTACAATGCTGATGTTATTTTCATCCAAGAAACTCACTCATGTAAAGAGGAGGAAAAGTTATGGAAGAGTCAATAGAGGACATTTGGTCGACTCACTGATCCGCCACTCAGCAGGGGTTGCTATTCTCACTCATACATTTAAAGGAAAGGTTTTTAATACCGTAAGGGACACCAATGGTCACTGGATGGTTACTATTACCTGTTTGGAAGATGCATTTTTTATTTTAGGCAACATCTGTGGGTACTGCTCACTCTCACAAAATTCACAATTATTGTAAGAGCTGGACTCTGTATTAAATGAGTTGATGTCTAAATATCCTGTAGCTAAAGTGATTTTGGGCGGTGATTTTAATACAGTTATGGATAAACAATTAGACAGATGCCCACCAAAGCTAACTCCAAATTCAAAAAAAACTAATTGACTTTACAAAAAGGCTGGATCTCATTGATATATACACTGTAAAAAAAAAAAGTTAATTAACAGGTAACGCCCTGTATTTTTTTACAGAATTTTGCCGTTTTTTCATTATACAGTGAATACCTGTTAATTTACAGATTTTTGCTGTAATTTAAAGGTCCACTATTATATTTACAGGTAATTGTTTGTGTTTTGGTTTTACATCAATTTTACCGTTTTTTTAAGGAAATTTTCTGTATTTTTACAGGGTTATGTGTAATTTTACATTAAATATTCAGTAATATTTTACAGATTATTTCTGTGAAATTAGAAAACAAAGAAAAGAAGGTATAACTGCAGAAATCAGCAGTCATTTAACATGTTGTCCTTGAAGATCATTAAGCAAGTGGATGTCAAAGTGAGTTTTAAGGTTAAATAATTGTATTTGTATACAGTAGGTATACAAACAGTCTTTTAAATGTTGTCTTGCAAATATAAAATCTTTATAGTCGTAAGCAATAAAGTCTTGCAAATCTTTCAGACCGTATTTTAATCTTGTCTGGCAAATGTGCTCATTTTGAAAATCATTTGTATTATTCTTCCCTAATTTCATGTTATGTGTTTTATAAATATTTTTCCAAATCTGCGTTGCTGCACACATTGCGTGGCTTTGTGTGCGTGCGACTGTGTGTGTGTGCTCCCGCGAAAACGCGCAATGACGCAGATTCAAATTATCCGCCAATACTTTTCCGAATCCGATGCTTAGTCCCGCCCACCACAACGGTTAGCTGTTTGGACCTGTGTCAACTTAGGGCAAGCGGGAGATTTGAATTTAGTCTACGGTTGTGAAGTGGATTGTTTGCGATCACAGTGGTTCAAAGATATAATCGTATTCGTCAGGAGCAGCCGTAAGCAGGAGCACTGAACACATGAGTTATGTTAACGTTACAGTCCGGGTGTCAGTCAGTCCGTTCGGAAATAACGCGCCCTTTTTCAGTGAGCCTGGATCGTCACAGCGGACATCATCATGCCAAGCAACCGATCACCGGCTGAGGTAAGAGTCTCATACTATAATATGTAAACGATATTTTATATTACATTTGTGTAAAATTGACAGTTTCCAAGGTAACGTTAGCATTAATGTTCAGTCATAACTGTTGCCGAGAGCTGGAGGGCAAAACACTGCAGCATGCCTTTCAATTTGCCATCTGTTTTAAGAAAGATCAGTTGAACATCTCTAAAGGCCTAAAACAAGCTTTAGTAGACTTGTTATGCATTTCAAAGTCCGTCCAATTTTGTATTAAATCTTCATTATGATAACTTCATAATCAATCAATCAATCAGTCAATCAATCTCTTAAACGGCGGGACATTTTGAAACACTGTCTGGAAGCTGAAAACTCTTCTCTTAAAAAACATCCTTGATTTTATTATAGTAAAATTGTAGTAACCACGTTTTTGGCAGATTTATTACCAATTTAATAACCACAGTTATACTAAAAATGGACCTACCTTTTTTGTTTTTGTTTTCTTAGTAACGTTAGTTAAACCATGGCTAATTTTGAAATGGTTAACGTGACTAAGTTAACTCTATCAAGAATGTTAAGAAATCTAATTCAGTTCTGTAACGTTACTTGTTAATAATACAGCGAAGACTAGAGTATGAATATAACATAATGAACCCCTATGTGTAGCTGATGCAGCTAGGTCACGGTAAATCATAATCATTTTTAATTTATATGTAGCTAAAAAAAATCAGCTCAAAACATACTGGTAACCTAACCTTTCCTGCTAAGCTTCCAGATCATAGTCAGTTGAGTTTTTGCACTGTCCCAATGCAACACATTCTGACATGTGTAAATGTAATACTGAGTTTTAAAATAACTTGTTTTTTTTGTGATTTCAGGTCCTGTGGAAAGCAGATGATCATGGCAAACAAGGTATGGGAAGAATTAACTTTAAAATAATAGTAATGACGAGTCTTCTGATTTCATGTGATTGCACTAAAAGTGTGCACAAGTTTTGGTTTTGCTACAGTAAGACCACGATTGTGTTAGATTCCACCCATCTATTGTTTTTTTGTTTAGTTTTTTTGTAACTAGGCCCTGTCGTTTAGATTTAGAAACATGGCTTTTCCTATCACTGCTATCTTAATGACACACATCTCTACCTTTCATTCCAGCCAGATGATCTGACGGTTGCTGCTCGCATCTCGGCCTAGCTGATGGAACATTCTTGCTGGATGAATGACCTTCACCTTCAACTCAACCTTGCCAGGACATAACTGCTTATGGTTTCAGCCAAACCATACTTGCTGTGATCCTGCTGATTTTCCTTACACCATTAGGAGGATCAGGCCCTTCCTATTGGAGCTCCACAACTCCTGGTCTAAGCTCTTGCTCTATCCAGACTGGATATTGTAATTCTCTCTGGACAGGCCTTCCAGCATCAGTCAAACCTCTGCAACTGATCCAGATGCTGCAGCAAGAGTGCTCTTTAAAGGTTGCCCTATACACAAACTTTAGATCTATGTGTTTTCCAGAAGCTTGTGTTCTGCAAATGAACGGCGCCTTGTGGTGCCATCATCCCAAAGAGACACAAAAACACTTTCTTCAATGACCTTTACCTGGACTGTTTCCAGCTGGTGGAATGACCGGCGCAACTCAACACATTTTCAAGAAACTGCTAAAGATCCACCCTTTTCATAAACACTTGCCCCAATAATACTAAATCTTTGTTTAAAAAACAAAAAACACTTGCTATGTGTACTGTGCTAGACTAACTGGGACTTGTCTCTGCACTTGTTGCTTCTATCGTTATCTTAATTGGTAAATCACTTTGGATTATATGTAATTGTAAATGTTTAAAAAAAAAAAGTTATATTAGACTATAAAGGTATACAGCAATTGCCTTTTAATGTGGATAATTTTACATGTTCTAAATTATATACTAAGCTTCTATTTCCAATTAATCACTTATCTTGATGTTCAGTGTTTGTTCAGTTACTAATACTGTAAATGTGCAGGTATTCTGTACTCATACATTTAGTTAATTAACAGAAAGGGTCTGTAAATTTGCTATTATTAAGTACTTAAATAGAGATTGGTCAAAGTTGTGAAATTGGATCTGTACAAATAAAAAATAAAACTAAATTTACAAACATTTGTATTTTAATTTATGCATTTTTATACATCATTTCATTGTTATTTAACACAGAAAAACTATATATTAAAAGATAATTACTGTAGATAGACAGCATTATTATATAAAATAACTTTATAAAACCCTAAATTTACAGTTTAATCTGAAAGTTAAATGTCTTTTTTATGTAATTTGACATCATTTATCCGTTTTTCCAGAGTTTAATAAGCCATTATTAACAGTAATATACTGTAATTTAATCAATTTTGACTGTAAAGTAAATTCTGTATTTTTACGGTTTTTCCCTGTAATTTTGTGAAACAGTTATTTGCTGTAATTTAACGGAAACCGTCTGGAAACTTTGCTGCCAGAGATTTGCCGTTTTTTTACGGGATTTTTTTTTACAGTGTAGAGAGAAAAACATACATTGTTGAAAACCTACACTTGGAGCAATAGAAAGCACACGCTGCAGTCCAGGAGAGATTTCTGGCTGATCTCGGCTGATTTAGACCCTCCATTGAGTCATACACTGTTTCTCCTGCGGTTCTGACGGGCCATAAGGCCATTTCTTTAGCTATTCAGCTCAGCAAGGAACCAAGAGGGAGATTCTCTAGCGGTTACTGGAGATTAAATAATTCTCTACTATCTCATGACGAGCTAAACATGAAAATAGATCTCCTGATCTCAGAACAGTGGGAGGCGGCTTGAAAAGGGACTCATTTTGGGACATCGTGGGAACTTCTCAAATATAAAATTAGAGGCGTCTGCTCGGGTTATGGCAAGATATTAGCGCACAAGAAGAAAAGTGTAACATACACGCTAATCAACAATATTAACAAACTTGCTGAAAAAGACCATTTGAGCCAAGAAGATAATAATGCCTTATTAGACTTACAAAACCAACTAGACATTTTATATGAGAACAAAGCAAAAGGAGCTTTTATAAGGTCACGTAGGAATTGGATGGAACAGGGTGAGAAAAACAGCAGATATTTCTTTAACATGGAAAAAAGAAGAAATGAAATCAATTCTATAAGAAAACTTGACATTGGGGAAAATGTTAGCGAGGACAGTAAAGAAATATCAAACTATATGAGTGCTTTTTATGAAAAACTTACTCAAAAGATATTAATCTCAAAGATCCAAAGTCCAATCTTTAGCTTGATTAACTCAGCTAACTGTGTGGATGCAGAATATAATCAAATCTGCTGTCAGGACATAACTCTTGAGGAGATTATTTGGGGAATAACTCAATTAAACAACAATAAATCCCCAGGCTGTGATGGTCTGAGCTCTAAGATGTATAAATGTTTCTCTGAGTCGCTGGTAAATTTCTTCTGGCTGTCTTCAGAGAATCTCTTGACAGAGGAGCTTCCTCCTTCTCTGAGGCGTCACAACACTTATTCCAAAACCTCAGACACACTCGCTATTCATTGACAATTGGCGACCCATTACATTGCTAAATAATTACTGTAAGATTCTAGCATCTATCTTAGCAAAACGTCTCAAATCTAAATTATACACTTTAATTGATGAATGCCAATCTGGTTTCATGAAAGATCGTCACATAGCCAATAACATTAGCTTAGTTTTGGATCTGATTGAATACAAAGACTTTCTAAATGATGAACAACACCTTGATTTATTCTTAGACTTTCAAAAAGCCTTTGACACACTGTCAGCCAAAAGTTTATTATTGACACCTTAAACTTTTTTTAATTTTGGTAAGAATTGTATTAATGCTGTATAAACTCTGTACATGGAGGAAACAGTTGTGTTAGATTGGCTAATGGAAGCTCACCTAGATTTCACACACACAAAGGTCTCCGCCAAGACTGCCCCACCTCGCCTCTTCTATTGGTGATTGTAGCTCAAATTCTCTGTCATTTAATTCACAAGAGTTCATTCAAAGGAATTACATTAAATGAAAGAGAAATACAAATCTGACAGCTGGCTGATGACCAGGGGCGTAATTTGTGGGGGGGATGGGGGGGATATAACCCCCCCAATATTTAAATCTATGCATTATGACCCCCCCATTATTTATACCATGATCACAATATCAGGAGGCATACCCAAACTTCAACCCCCCCCCCCCAATGTTCAAACCAAATCTACGCCCTTGCTGATGACACAACCCTGTTTCTAAAAAATGAATCCCAAATAGGAGTTGCACTAAATGTTGTAAACCAATTTTCTGAAAGCTCAGGCTTGAATCTAAATCTTTCCAAATGTGAGCTGTTTTCTGTTAAAAATAAGCATTCGGGTCAAATATGTGGCAAAAATATAAAAAAATTAGTAACTTATCTTGGAATAAAAATCAGTCCTAATCAAAAGTTGATGACAGAGAGTAATATCTCTTTACTACACGATTCTATTCATAAAAAGTTTGACTCTTGGCTTGCAAGAGATATATCTACGTATGGCAGGTTCTTCTTTCTAAAGCAGAAGGTCTCTCACGAGCAGCATATTTATTTACATCAATAGAAATTCATAAGTTACAATATGCCAATCTAGACAAACTATTATATAACTTTATATGGAGGAAGAAGCCCCATAAAATCAGGAAAAACATCTTGACTAATAAAATTGAGGAGGGGGGTTTATCGGTAACTGACTTCTCACTTTTCAATGAGATATTAAAAATCAACTGGATTAAAATATTTTTGAAATAATCCAAACAGTTTCTGGAACATTGTTCCAAACTTTATCTTTGAAAAACTTGGTAAAATCCTGTTCTTGCTTCAGTGCCGATCCTCCATCAACAGACTGCCAGTCAAACGCTCAGACTTCCTTAAACACGCTCGAACTTGTTGGGCACTTTTGTACAAACACAATTTCTCCCCTCACAAATGTTTAATCTGGAACAACATGAACATCATACATAGAAACAAGACTCTCTTTATAGAAAACTGGTTTAAACATGATATTCTACTGGTATCCCAATTATTAAATAACTCAAATCAAATTTTAACTTGTGATGAACTCACCCATAAATTTAATTTCCATCCTGCAAGAAAAGAGTTTGATATTGTAACCAGAGCTAAACCCCATGGGATCATCACCCGACTTAGAGATGTGACAGATTTGGATCAAATTAATGTATTTTTCTCCAGCAGTGTTTCAATAAATAGTCTATCTTTTCTAGGCAAAAAAGTCAACAACAAAGTAATAAAAAACCTTTTATGTGCAAAATCTATCTCTGCCTCCAGGTACTAATGGTCCCCGTTGTATGGAAATATTAATGGGAATAGAGCATGGAGTAACACACATACATTTTTAATTACAAACAAAGTAAAAGAAATATCATTTAAAATTCTTCACCACTATTACCCCTGTAACAAGATTATTTGGAAATGTATCCCGACTGTAGAAGAGAAATGCAGCTTTTGCTCTCTGGAAACAGAAACGTTAGAGCATTTATTCTACAGCTGTTCACATGCTCTTCTCTGTGGAATGATATACAATGCTTTATTAATGGACACTTTGGCTCAAACTTACATTTATCTAGTTTTGACATCTTCTTTTACTTTTCTGACTCAAACTCCTCTCTACAATATATAGTCAACTTAATAATTTTGCTTGGAAAATTCTTTATTCATAAATCGAAATTTATGAAGAACAAACTTCTTTTCAATGTTTTTAAACTTGACTTAAATTATATAGACTGTTGTAGCAACATTGAGAATGGACCAAACACAATTGAAGCGTTCGTACATAATCAAACACAAGGGGCTGCATATTCCAAATTATCTCTGAGGCTATGAGCCAAGAAGACCTTTTGTTGCTTAACTAAAGGAAGGACGTTGTCAATGTTTTATAATTTGGCAAGAACAGATCTGTTCAGAAATGGTGAAACAAGAGGCCCTAACAAGGAGTCACCTGACCCCTGCGACTAAACAGACTGAACCATTCAGCGTCCCGAGCTAGTTTTCCCCTCATCAATTATATCCTTAAGGCTGAAAAAGTGGACTTGCATACAAAATACCCTTTGTCTTGAAGACAGCCATTTGCGAAACTAAACCCTCACGTGGTACACACCACGGATGCACAAATGCTGACCATAAGGATACCCACACACACACACACACACATAAGGACTTTCCTCCAATTCTCCAATACCAATAAAACTCATCCCAGAACAATTCTTGACTGACCCAGAATCAA